CCCGGCCATGAGTTCATTTCCACTTGCCTGCCAGGAAAACAGCCGTCACACAGCCTGAGGCTGAAGGAAAAGGGGAAGAATGTTCACTCGGCCAGGCCCTCCTGACCCTTGGCTCCATCATCCTCGCTGGAGCCCTGTGGGGTCCTGGGGTCCTGGGGTCCTGGGGTCCAGATGCTCATCCTCACTCCACAAAGGAGATAAGCCCGGCTCCAGGTTCTCGGCACTTAAAGGCAGAGCCGGGATTTGAACGGCATCTCCACTGCAGTTCTGGGGGGCCATGGACATGGGGCGGACGGAGAGGAGAGAAGCCCCTTATAACGTTTAGCACTCGCTACCCCAGAACCAGCCATTTCAGCCGGGGAATGAGCGCGTGTTCACACAGATGCTTCCGTGACTGCTCGGGCGCTGTGCTCGTAAGGGTCACCGGTGGGGACCACCCGCGCAGCTCTCAGCAGACAAAGCGGCCCGGCGCCTGCGACGGGGCACTGGACGCAGCAAGGCGCCGAGCAAGGCGCCGGCACAGGCACCAGCCTCGCCGCATGTCAACAGCACGCTGCGGAACAAGCAGCCAGGCACACAAGACGTGCACAGCGCACTCTGTCTGTAAGGGCCGAAGGCAGGACTTGTGTCTTTTTATGACTTTTCCCCCCACAATTTATGAGAAGCGCCTGGTAATTAAACACGGAGATGGCGGGTGTCTGCGACTTTGAACCCACTTTCCACCCAGCCGAACCTCCTCCGTGAACACTGGAAACTGAATTCCATATCATTTCCTGCATCACCAAATACTAGGCCCCTTTTGACTCTTTTCCTCAATCATTTAAAGTGTAGAAACTGTTCTTGACTTGCTGGCCATACAAAAATCAGCATCGCGGTGACGCTCTGTGCCTCGGTTTCCTCCCCGGTGCCGAGGGGCAGGCACGGACCCCGCCCGGCAGGCGGCTGGGGAGGAGCGCGGGTGTGCGCGGCTGCGGGGCGCACGGGGGAGACAGTCCCGGGATGTGTGTTGCGCAATGAAAGCGGTGAGAGGCTCCTTCAAACCAAGCGGAAGGTTCCCAGTCCACAGGGGGGGTGACAAGGGGAGTGGAACATTCCAGCCCGCGTCCCGGTTAGGCCGACTGCCGAGTCCTGATGCGCTCCGTCATTTGCGCCACCCACGCGGGGCTTGTGCTTCTGACAAACAAGTGCCCAGGTCCCTGGGAACCCCACAGCCCTCGGAGGGTCTCTGCTTGCATGGGGGCAGGAGGAAGGGCAGGTGGGCCGGGCAGGCGCGTTGCTGGAGAGGGAGGGTGCTCTGTGGGGCCGCAGCAAGGGCGCGGAGGGAGGAGAGGTGACGAAGGTGCTCGCACTGCGCGGAGTGCGACAACCTGCCCGTCCATAAGGAAACACCGAACGAAGTTCAATAGGACAAGCTCGGTCTCCTCGAAGCCGAAAGGCCACAACGGACCAGAAGTTCAAAACGGCCAAGTTAAAACATAGAAAATGTTAGTATTTTAAATAAAAACACTGGTTCTTTTAAAATATTTTTAACAAGTAGGGGCATGAAGCTCGAGGTACATGCTTTATTCCTCCTGGTAAATAGTCACTTAGGATACATAGATTTGCCTCCTTTTTCTCCACCTGAGTGAGGATGGGGAGAGACGACAGGAAGCTGCGGACTGGCCAAATAGTTCCAGAAAGAGCAAGCGCTCAGCCGCACACAGGAAGGGGCCCGAGGGAAGAGGAAGGAGGAGGGCCCACCCCCACCCCCACCCCTACCAGGGTGTTGCAAGTTGGCAGACTGCCAAGATGCCCAGAGGAGCCGAACTAGGGGTGTGAACTCAGTGCCCTGGGAGAGAAAACCGTGTGAGTAGCACCCTGAGATGAGGACGAGAGCCGGAGCGGGCTGAGCTCAGAGCTGGCCTGCGGGGCTGCCCAGCATCTCACGTGGCCTCACGCTCGATGAGAGACTCGCCGTGTCCCCATTTCACAGATAAGGAAGCTGAGGCTCGGAGAGGTGAAAGGAAGTCCTCCGCTGAATCCAGGTCGGCCTGGCTCCAAGCGTCCCCCACCCAGATCGGCCCTCTGCGCCTCAGAGGTGCTCAGAAAGATGCTAGTTGTACCTTTCAGAAGCAAAGTGAGCTCTGTGTCCCTGGACAAAGACTGCTGCTCCCAAATCTTCCTCCTGCTCCGCCCCTTAGGATCCATCTGAAATGTCTCCCCGGCCCAGGAACATGTCCAAAGATCATACGGGGGTTGGCATCAACTTAGGGGCCACCTGTGCCTGAGACGGCCCCACAGCCCACGTCAGCACCTCCCTGACTCTTCACAATCCTGGTAGAAGTGACTGTTCTCATCCTTCAGCTCAAAGAGGAGGACACGGAGACACGGAGAAGTAAAAGGGCTCAGGTCTCACAAAGACAGTGGTGGAGTTAGGAGTTGAACTCAGGCCAAGCCCAAGCCTGACCCATACTGCCCCCAGAAGGACGCTGGTGCCGGACAGGGGCCCCCTGGTGAGGCCGGGTATCCAAGAGTAGGGCTGCGTCCGTGTGTGCATGCAGCAGTCCGTTCAGGCTGGCTCTCACACTCTGGGAACTCTGCCCTGGGTGCAGCACCCCTGAAGTCCATCACTGCTCCGATCAGGCCTTTGTTCCTTGCACCCCACACCCACCCTCCCTTCCTGCTGCAGACCCCAAGCCTCTCCATCCACTCTCATCTCTAGGCAAGGCCCATGGAGGGTTAGGGTCTCCCCAGACGCCCACGGGACCTTACTCTGATGCACTGCTCCAGGGAATCAGCCCAGACACCGCCGTCGACAATTCCCCACGTGGCTTGTGGTCCTGGAACATGTGCCTTATGAACGGCCTCTGGGATTCTGTCCCTGCTCTTTTCCCAGGTCATCCCAGCCCTTCTTCCCAGGATGTGTGCCCAGAGGACCTCTCTGGTGAAATCCCAGACCCTCCCGCGCCCAGCCAGGGTCTAGAACACACACAGACACTGCACAGCCTCCACGAAATGCCCCCTTTGGGCACTTCACAGCTGGCCCCGTCCTCTTCCCTCTACAGCTGGCCCTGGAAACCTGCCAAGATGCCCAAGGATGACACCTGTCAGCTCCATTAATCCTCTGAGCCGGGTGCCACTGTGCCTCTCACAGAGGCTCGGTATTGGGTGACGTCCTGGATCACACAGGCCAGACACGGCAGGAACCGAGGTGACGTGCAGGACTGCCTGGGCTGGGAAGGGCCACCTGACGGCCTCCTGGCAAAGGGCAGCTTTGTGCAAGACAGCTTCCTGCCCCATTCTCTGCCCCTGCCCAGCCCGCTGCCTCCACCCCTCCCAGAGCCGCCTTCCTCCCAGGCTGCCAGAGACGGGCCCTGTGCTCAGGGTGCATGGCCAGTGTGCTGTGGCCCTCAGCACCCCAGAGCCCCGAGGAGCTGGAGGAGGAGGAGGGGGAGGTCAGGCCACTGCGGGAGGTGCAGCTGCCAACAGAGCACCCGGAACAGGAGGTAGAGGGGGTGGCGCCCTCGCACTAACCCCCAGGCTGCTGGGCTGAGGAGGCTGAGACTGGTCATTGCCTGGAAGGCGGGGTGTTTGCCAGTGCGAGAGTTGGGAGGGGTAGCTGGGCTCGGAGCTCCACTGTGCAGACGGAATAACTGAGGCACACGGGGGTAGAAACGCCCAAGAGGTATGGAGGGCGGGCTCACCTCAGCCGCAGCCTAGCTCTCTAAGCTGCCAGTGGACCTAGAGCCCCAGCAGAGTTGCCCACTCGGCCAGCTCAGGGGAAGTCGGGGCCCTGCAGCCAGACTGTGGAACCCGGAATCTGGAGGGTGTGGGGGACGGGAGTCCTCCCTCTCTGAGCTCAGCTCTGCTCCGCATGGAGGGTGGTGCATAGTCCCCGCACAGGGTTACAAAGAAGCCAGGAGGAAAGCTTCTGGAATGCCCCTCACCCACCTGCAGGGACACGGGGGAGACCCAGGGAGGGCGAGTGGGGGCAGGCAACATCGGAAGGCCTTGCTGCGGGCACCAGCCCTGGGCTCTGAGCTTCCGCGACCTGCTGCATTGCACCCTCCCAGCAGTCCACCGAGGGGTACTGTCGTGACCCCCATTTTACACATGGGGAAACCGAGCCACGGGGAGGTCACAGCTTGCCAATGAAGGGGGAGCGAGGAAGCTGCAGGTCATCCGCTGGCAGGGTCCCACAGCCATGACCGGGGGAGTGCAGGGGGACCGAAATGCACTCCCCACCCGTTCCCCAGCTCTCTGTGAGGCTCTATGTGCCAGACCGGCCGGCCGTGGGTGCTTACAGGGGTCGCAGCCCGTGGAGCCCCCCACCCCAGCAGTGCCCCAGGGCCTGCAGGAGCCCCGAACAGACCATGTCTCCCAGGAAAGTCCCAGCAGCCTGTGGGTCACATGGGTCTGCTGGCAGCTGTGCCCCAGAGACACAGAAACAGGCCGGAGGCTGCTGGGACGGAGCCGCCTCGGGGTCAAAGAGGCCTGGAGAGCAGGGCCGCGGACGGCTGTGCAGGACAAAGAGCCCCTGTGGCCTGGCCCTGCACAGAAGCCAGCCTGTGTCCCGACAGCCACAGGAAGCGGGTGAAAACACCTCCTGGTTCGGGGGGGTTGGGGTGGGGGGTGGGCAGCGCCTCTGCCTGCACTGCCCCTGCCCCTGCCCCTGCCCCTGCCCGCGCCCACGGCCACCCGCGCCGACCTGCAGTGCCGTGCCCCCACCACCAGCCCCCTTTCTCCTCAGGGGGTGGAGAGGGCTTCTGTATCTGAGGCCAGCTGAGTGATTCTGAATGAGCAGCCCCTCCACTCTAGGCCTCAGTTTCCCTGTCTGCTAATGGGCACATGAGCCCCTGCACCCCACCCAGGGCAGCCGTGCGTCTCCAGCACCAGGCAGCTCCCGCTTCCAACAAGGCGGCCACTGAGACCTCCGCAGGGGGAGGAGCACCAGGAAGGGTGCTTTCCTGAGCCCCTGAGTCATGCCACCCTGCCCTGGACGCAGGATGCTGCGGTTTACGAGCAGGGTACAATGACATCCTTTGGTCTCCGGAGCAGAGGGCTGTGCGTTCCCTGGGCGGAGCAGGCACGGGCAGCGTGGGTGGCGGCTCAGTGTCTGGCAGATGGACTTAGCCCCTGTTTGCTCCTCCGATAACTGAGCTGACCTTAGTTAATATTCACCAGAAGCCTTCCGCGTCGCCCCCCGAGTCCACTGCTTAAATACGGACAAGGACAGGGCTCTGTCTCCTCAGCCTTGGTCACCACCCTGGCCTGGGAAAGTAAACCGTAAGTATTCCTTCCCCAAGGAGAGCCTCTGGGGGCCTCGGGGTCCTGTCCCTGCCCAGGCAGCCCCGGGGATGCAGGGCAGATGGAGTGGGTGGGGTGGGCCTCCTGCCATCATAGCGACAGCATCCTGGAGGCCCTGTCCTGCTCTCTCAGCCTGCTGGGGCCTCCGTACTTGCAGGGGGATAACCTGGCCCTCTGTAAACAGGAGTGGGAGTGGGGGTCTGGCGCTGGTGCCCTGGGACCCAGGAGGGAGCATGCTTCTGTGGGCACAGCTCCTGTGTCTGTCCTGTCTGCTGTCCCCTACAGGTCTCCCCTCCACTGCTCCTGGGTGGGTCTCATTTTCCCTTTCGGCAGATGAGAAAATTCAGGCCCAGTGAGGAGTCCAGGCTAACGTAGGGTCCTGGTGGGGGAGGCAGGCCAGACTGGAAGCCGAGTTCCAGCCACTCACGGGCCTCCATCCTCTGCAGAAATGCCCCGAGGAGAGTACCAGGCCTCAGCCTAGACCAGTGGTGCTCACCTTGCTGATGCCGCGGCCCTTTAACACAGCTCCTCGCGTCGGGGGGCGAACCTGCAGTGGGCGGACCCCTGGAGACGATAGAGGAGGTGTCCCGGTTCCTAAGACCATCGGAAATATGTGTTTTCTGATGGTCTTAGGCGACCCCTGTGAAAGGGTTGTTCGACCCCCCAAGGGGTCGCGACCCACAGGTTGAGAACCACTGGCCTAGAGGCATCCAAATGGGCCTCCATGTGTACAGCGGGCCCCTGGGTGCCCTGCTCCGGCGCCAGATGGGAAACCTGGGAGGAACCCCGTGAGAGGCGCTCTCGCGATGCCCCCGAGCCCTGGTTCCAGCCGCTGCTCCCGAGCCGACAGGCGGTTCGCACTGAGGCTCACAGCAGCCTCCTGAGGGGGTCACGGCGGCGCGTCCCACTGCACAGAGGACACTGAGGGCAGAGAAGCTTCTAACTTGCCCCAAATCACACACCATCCAGGATGCCCCTGCCCACGTAGTTCCAGACCCCACGCTCCTGACCCCATTCCCACTGTCCACAAGCGTTCTCGGGGTCTCAGGGACCAGCTGGGGGATGGGACTCCGGCCGGCCTCCCAGACTCATCAGCGCAGGGGCCCCGGACGGCTGTTCAACCTCTCCGGCTTCTTGGGCCAAATGTAGATAACCGTTGCCTTTCTTCTCATTCCCCCCACTGGCCCTGATCTCGGGGTGAATGCTCCGTCCCTGGATTTGGGAGGTGGGGCTACAAAGATGACCAGGGCAAGGGCACCAGACCCGCACAGGGCTCTGAAAGGGCCACATCGGTGCCGGCCGACCCGCTGAGCGCAGGCTGTGCGCCAGGCGCGTGCCCACGTTTGCAGGCAGTTCACTGTGCGAGAGAGAGCGCTGCCAGGAACTGCGCCCCCGGCCAGGGAAGCGAGGTCCGGTCACTTGCCCAAGGTCACGCAGCTGAGGTGCATGGAACTCGCGCCTTCGGGCCTCGTGGTCTCTGATCTTGGCCCCAGGCGATGCTGCCTCTCCATCTGTGCCCTTTTCGGCTGCAAGGCCTCTGGTTTCAGCTTTATACACAGAGGGGTTAAATGCCAGGTTCTGAAATCAAAATGCCTGGGGTTCAATCCCAGCTCCATAAGCAAGTAGCTCTATGGTTTTCAGGGAGTCCCTTACCCTCTGTAGGCCTCGGTTTCTCCATCTATAAAATGGAGCTAATAACAATCCCCACTTCAGAGGGTGGGCTTTGAGAAGAGATCAGATGGGAAGGAGCACACGAAACGCCTGGAGTTCACGAAGTGTGACGATGGCGGGGTGCTGACGTTGGCTGGGCACAGGGTCCGGCAGCTCACCGGCCATCGGTACTTGGAGAATTGCATTTAAGTTTCCAGGCACAGAGGTGGTTCATTGCTGAGCAGGGGCCCCTCTCTGGTCCTGGGCAATGGGGCAACTTGCCGGGAAGAAGTCTGCCAGTCCTTGCGCGTGACCCCAGCCTGTGGGCAGATATGGGGAGTCCTGCACACCTGGGGGGGCCTGCCCACCCATCACCCTGTTTGTTCGTCACCTCAATCCTGCAAGAAACCCTTTTCTCCACTTTGCAGACAGGAAGCTAAGTCCCAACGACTTAGGCACTTGCCCATAGCAGGTAGGGCTGGGCACCCCCGGGCTGCCATTGTGACCGATGGTGCGGGCGCTTCCCTGGACCCGAGACATCTCGGTCATCCATTTTATGCTCCTGGCTGGAAATGGTGTGAGAACAGTCAAGAGGGCTGGCTCGCTCCTCTCCCCTACCTGGCGGAGACTGCTCCCACCCGCCCTGGGCCCTGGAGATGTCACCTGATTCACGCGCCCTGGGCACTTCCCACCTACTTTCTCCTTCCTGAGTGGCTTCCCCAGCACTGGGCTTGGGGGAGGGGTGCCGCCTTTGACAGAAGGGCACGGAGACAGCAGTCGTGGGCCGAAGCTGTAAGGAACAGACTGGGAGGCGAGATGACGCCAACGGGAGGCTCAAGACCGACGCCAAGTCCCCAGGGCCTGTTCTGACATTGGCGGAGTCTGAGCCCTGAGGACAGCTGTCTCGCCTGAAGGGCAGGTGGAGGGACCAAGGCTTGTTACCACTTTGTGACTGACTCACATGGGGCCTTGGCAAGGCCCCGACCCTCTCGGGGCCTCACACCCCTTACTGTAAAAGAAGGAACCCGCAAGGTGGGGTCACACCCAGAAGGATGGACTGGGGGTGACAAGTGTCACTCGGCTGCAGCCCCTCTGACCTCAGCCCCATGCTAGTCTTGCCACCTTCCCAGAGGCCGACAGCCCGCTGAGTGGGAGGGCACCTCACCCCACCCCGCCCCACAGGGAGTACATTCTGCTCCCCCAAACCCGGACACCCTTCTAATTAAGAATCCACCATTAGGACACAGGGACCCCAACCCCGACTGACCAGGCGGGGAGAGCTAGGCCCCGGACGAGAAGAGCGTGCCCCAGGCCAGGCACAGCTGTGGCCCTGGCGGACTGTAAGCCGAGCCTCTGGCCCAGGGGCCACCCACATGTTAGCGTCCCCACCCCGCCAAGGCCCAAGGCCTCCTGATCTGTGAGTCCTGAAAGATGGCCCATTGCTGTCACCCCAAAGACCCGCACCAAAATCCAGTGGAGGTGTCGTCAGAAACTGGAGGGAGGTGCAAACACACAGAACTAATTTTAGCACCGTCATCGGCTCTAAAACCACAGGCTAGTTCAAGAAAAATATAAACACATATTAGGTAACGTACGGTCTGCTCCATCTGGGTTATTTACAAGCCTAAAGGCCGAAAGACCGGCAGAGAGACGCCAGCTTGTGCTTCGTTTGGTCCTTTTGTTGGAAAGAAATGGTTAAGAGTCCAAGGGGTAGATGAAACCCGGAATGTTTTATTTCCAACTTTCTCCCCGGGGAGTTTCCAGATTCCAGATTCCAGGACTCCTTTGTGTACTTTATGAAAATGACTCTCAGTGATGTGAGTCATAGCCAGCTAGGTGGCCCAGACACATGCTCCTCTGCTCAGACCTCAGTTTCCCACCTGTGCAGGGAGCAGGCTGTGCCCGGGGGGCTGCAGGCTAGTGGCCCGAGCTGGGGCACATCAGAGGAGAGGGAGCGCCGTGGGCAGGCTGGGCTCCCGTTGCTCTGGGCGGCACAGGGAGCATCTGCTCGTACTGGTTCAGCCCTAGGCCTTGCCGCCCGTGTCTTCCCAGCATGGAGCACATCCCCCTCCCGGCCTGCTGCCTGGCCCCCACTTGCTCCCCCTCACTGAGCTGCTCTCTCAGACACCCTCAATGTCAGATTTGGGGTCTAAACGTATCTCACTAAACTCTCCCAATGACCTCACTTGCCTTTTTTTTCTATCTAGAGAGTGGAAGGGAGGGGGTGGGGAGAGAAAGAGAGAGGGAGAGAGAAACGTTGATGGGAGAGAGATATCAATTGGTGGTCTCCCACATGGTCCCCAACCAGGGCCAGAGATCAAACCTGCAACCCAGGTATGTGCCCTTGACTGGGAATCCAATCTGAGACCCCTTGGTCCACAGGCCGACACTCTAACCACTGAGCCACACTGGCCAGGGCTCAACATCACTTTCTATATGAGGTAAAATGAGGGCCAGAGACACTAAATGACTTGTACTTAGAACTCAGGTCTGTCTGAAGAGAAAAGAGATGCTTGCTTCACTGCCTACACACACACATACACAACCGCCCTCCACTAGAGAGACTAGCAACTCGAACACCCTTGTCCTGTAGAGCCCAGAGCCGGGTGCTGACCAGGACGAGTGGGCTGCAGGCACCGCGGCCCCGTGCAGTAGCTGAGACCAGAGACGCACGGTGAGGGCAGCCCTCCTGCACGGGAGAAACTGCCAGGGGCTGAGGCTCACTGCGTGTCGAGTAGACAGCCACCTGGCTGTTTCCTCAAAGCTGCACTGTGTTCGACTATGTGTCATTGGGCAAGATCCTTCCCCTCTGGGCGGCGGCCTCGTGGCCCATTAAATAACTGAATTCGATGCAGCCCTCCCGGGGCTGTTCCAGATCCAGTCATCCCTGGGTCTGAGCTGGCTGCTTTCTGGGTGATCATCAGCATGGACACTATGCAGCCCAGCCTTGGTGTTCCGTATTACAAGGCAGGGGATCTGGCACGGGCACCTCAGGGTCACTGTAGATGTTAGTGGAGCCATCAGAACATGGACTCCATACCCAGACCACCTGGGTGTGTGATTCTGGTGAGTCTTTCTACCATGACGATGTACAAAATGCTTGGCACAGGGCTGCACAAAGTAGATGTTGAATAAACCCTGGTTGTTTACATGGTGTGAACCCGTGGCCGGGGGGACTCATCGTGTGGCCTGACTTGGGCGTGATGCCCTTCTCTCTTGCAGGACGATGCCATCCTCCAGCATGTGGGGCCTCCTCCTGCTGGCAGGCCTGAGCTGCCTGGCCCCTGCCACAGTCCAGGGAGACCCGGTCCAGGAGACAGAGGCATGCCACCACGATTATGAGACAGCCAGCCACAAGATCGCCCCGAACCTGGCAGACTTCGCTTTCAGCCTGTACCGCCAGGTGGCCCATGAGTCCAATACCACCAACATCTTCTTCTCCCCAGTGAGCATCGCCACAGCCTTTGCCATGCTCTCCCTGGGGGCTAAGGGTGAGACTCACAACCAGATCCTGAAGGGTCTAGATTTCAACCTCACAGAGAGAGCAGAGGCAGATATCCACAAAGGCTTCGAGGGTCTCCTTTACACCCTCAATCGGCCAGACAGCCAGCTGCAGCTGACCACCGGCAATGCCTTGTTCATCAATGAGAGCGTGAAGCTAGTGGAGAAGTTTCTGGAGGATGTCAAGAAGATGTATCACTCAGAAGCCTTCACCGTCAACTTCCAGGACTCTGAAGCAGCCAAGAAACGCATCAACGATTATGTAGAGAAAGGGACCCAAGGAAAAATTGTGGATCTGGTCAAAGAGCTTGACGAAAACACAGTTTTTACTCTGGTGAATTACATCTTCTTCAAAGGTAAGGCTGCACAACGAGCCTGAGTTCGTTCCCATGGGAACATCCAAAAATATTCTCAAACATTAGTTCTTAGACTTTCCTTGGCAGTGCACGATGAGACCTGACTATGCATCTCTGCAGGGGTAATTCCATTTTCCTCACACACCCATGAAAAAACTTCCCATGATCAAACAAGGTTAGCGAGCCATGGGTCAAACAGTCAAAGCATCATCTTCCCTGCAGGACTTGTCAGAGCCTTTGGTACACATTCTCATGTGCATCGTAAATCTCTACCAGGGAGGGGGGTAAAATGTGCAATGCCCCCCACCAAACAGAGAGCCAGAAAAACAAACTTTAGCAGAGTGTATGAAAGGAACAAGGTTTCCTGAAACATACTTTGAACAACACTAGTGTAGTGGAAGGAGCGACAGCTTTGGAGTCAGAAAGACCGGGGTTCAAATCCTGCCTCGGCCACTTATTAGCTATTTGATTATCAGCAAGTCATTTTACCTCTTTTTTTATTATTATTTTTTCTTCGTTGATTTTAGAGAGAAAGGAAGGGAGAGGGAGAGATAGAAACATCAATAAGAGAGAACATCTATTGGCTGCCTCCTGCATGCCCCCACTGGGGACTGGGCCCACACCTGGGCATGCACCCCAGCCAGGAATTGAACTGGCAATCACCTGGAGCATGGGTCGATGCTCAACCACTGAGCCACACCGGCCGGGCCATGTCACCTCTCTGAGGTTCCAGTTTCCAATCTGGAACATGAACATAAGAATCCCTTCGTTGGCAGGTTTCTGTAAGGAGCACACATTACGACTATGGGCTCACCAAGTAGGTGCTCAACTGAACTGGGATTTCAGCCTGCCTTCCTCCCTCGGGGTGATGGGACGTCGGAAGCCTGTGGGCCCCGGAGGGCATTCTGAGGCTGTGGAAACAGTCCATGGAAATAGCCTGGCACAGGGAGGTGACAGTCAAGGGCAGGGGCTGCTTCCTTCACACTGCTGGCTCCTTGACCTGAGGCAGAAGACAGCGATGGAGTGCTGAGGCCGAGCAGGTGCATCTTGGGTCCCAGCTCCGCTGTGGGACTTCAGGCGGGTCCTGTCCCTCTCCAGCCTCAGTCTCCATCTTCCATCCAATGAGAAACGAGCTCAAGGGTCCCCAAGGCTCCAGTCCCCTCTGACTTGCCAGGATGGTGCCGGTCTCTCAGTCTAGTGGAGGGGTGATGCCCAGGCCTCCGCACTTCACATGCTGTTCCAGGAAAAGGCCATCAGAGTAAGAACAAGAGTGATTTCCCTGAATGATAAGAACCTCTGATTACCAAGGGGCAGGGAGACTCAGACAAGGAGGTGCCAAGTATGACTGATGTCATTTTCAATCAGCATCTTCCAAGCAACCCCCAATTAAACAGACAGGAAATACAAGTTAAAATGCTTACTCTGCCCAGCCAGATTGGCATCCCTGGGCCTCTACAACATAGAACAGTGGGACCCTCTTCCTGTCTGGCATCATCCTCACAAAAGCCCTCTCAGTGCACCGACGTTCATTTTGGCTCCATTTTACAGATGGGGAAACTGAGGCTCAGAGACAGACATCTCATCGAGGAGGCTCCGGGCTCCTTCATTCTACCACAGGTACCTGACCCTTTCCCATCCCTGCCTGACATGCCCCTTCACCTCTCTCCAGGAAAATGGGTGAAGCCCTTCGATGTGGACCAGACCACTGAAGAGGACTTCCACGTGGATGCGGCCACCACTGTCAAGGTGCCCATGATGCAGCGCCTGGGCATGTTTGACCTGTACCACTGCGACAAGCTCTCCAGCTGGGTGCTGCTCATGGACTATGTGGGCAACGCCACCGCCTTCTTCATCTTGCCCGACGAGGGGAAACTGCACCATCTGGAGGACACGCTGACCACGGAAGACCTTGCCAAGTTCCTGGAAAAGAAACACCACAGGTGACATCCCGAGCCAGAGGCTGGCCAGCCACACCCTATCTGGCCAGAGGGGGTGAGAGTGGACCCTCATCCCGTGGGCCATGCAACTGTGCATGCCCTTGTGCTTCCAGACAGAGGTCAGCACCAGGTCAGGTAGCACCGCCATGAGAGACGGTGCCCATAGCTCCGGAGGCACACGTCCTGTGCTTGGGGACTTCCTCCCCAGCAGGGACAGTGCCCCTTCCTGGTGCCAGCTGCAGGTACAGGAAGAGTAGCACTAACACACAGAGAGAGACCAGAAGGAAGAGGTGGGCTTCCTGGCAGAGGTGGCCACCGCGGGTGGAGTGGAGAGACAGGTGTACACGGCTGCGCAGCGGGAGAAGCTGCCCAGAGAGGCCGGAGAAGCCAAGGCCCAGGGCAGGGAGGTTCCGGTTCTGTTGTCACTAGGTCAGTGTGGTTTCACTGGGTCCCCCGGAGTGAAGTATTTCAGCATGCACCCGAAATTAGCACCTATATCTCTGCATCCACAAATGCCAAGCCTCATGAATATTTTAACATGCATATAAAAATATACACAAATACTTACATATGCACAATATAAACAATCAAATAAATCAAAATGTAAAATAATGCATAAAAGAATACCTTATAAACATATGTATAGATGAATATAAAAATACAAAACAATATGAGGTTAAAATTAAGAGAGACGTATGAATACCTCTACCCACCCAACCCCAGCCCTGTGTTCCTACACTGCAGTTGAGAAGAGAAAACAAGGAGAGGCGAAATCGCACCCAAGCGCCAGGCAGCTCCCTCATGTCCACCCTTCTCAGGGCCACACTTGGTCCCCATGGCAACCAAGGGCTCAGTCGTCAGCCCCATGCATCACTCATCAGTCACTGGGCAAATGTCACTCAGCACCTGGCACCACGCCCCACGTTCTGCTGGGATTCCAGCCCCGAAGTCCCAGTCTGGGGGTGACCAAACCCTGCAGGGCAGGGTGCAAAGTGCCTCCGGAGGACACCCTGGATCTCCCAGAGGGCTTCTCAGAGGAGGTGGCATTTGAGAGACTTTCAGAACAAGAGGACCCGCATCATTCTAACATTCTCTGAAGCAGGGGTAGAGCCCCTAAAATTACAATAAACCAACACCGATCCCCATCCTCCCGTGGGCAGAGAGACAGGGTGCCAAGTGGGAGAAATGACCAGAAGAGAAAAACTTTCAATGTTGAGAAATTCCTTTGTTTTCTATCCATCTTCACAGGTCTGCCAGTTTACTTTTGCCCAAACTGTCCATTTCTGGGACCTATGATCTGGAAACCTTCCTGGGCAAACTGGGCATCGCCAGGGTCTTCAGTAACGGGGCTGAGCTCTCGGGGATCAGTGAGGAAGTACCCTTGAAGCTGTCCAAGGTGAGCTTGTCCCTGGCTTCCCTGGGTCAGAATGTGTACGGGCTGCAGCTCAGGGGGAGGGGCACAGGGACACATGCACCCTACAGACTGAGTCTCAGGAATGCCACTGGACTCCCCAAGATTGGGGTGTGGTCCGGTGACTGACTGAGGGGGGCGGCCTCTCGTGTTCTGGTATTTTAGCGACATCCTCTGCGGTGGTGTCACTGACCCTCTGTCTCATCTGTGGTCAGGGTCTTCCCTTCTTTGAGCCTCGAGGGACCCATATTTACAAAGACAGACGGGGGTCAGGGATTTCAAAGGACTTTAGGCCCCCACATCCTGTGACACTGGGAGCCACTGCTGAATCAGCAAGTCCAAGTTAATGAGTGATTTTGGCTAAAGATGCCACTTATTCGGGAGCCTTGAAGGTGACCGAGGAAACAACTACAGTGCTAGACTGGCTACGAACTGAGTGCCTGGCTGTGAACTAGACACTGGGAAGGTCCCCATCTAAGCCCTGGTCCCCAAGGAGCTTACAATCAGATACTAGAAAGGAGAGACATGTCAGGAGACCCAAAGTTCCAGTCATCTTCTACCTCCTGAGGGGTGGGGTGTCTCCAGGGAGGTTGAGCACGTGGGTCAGGAAGAAGTGAGGGTGCGCAGGTGGCGTCTGGCAAGGACCTTGCAGAGGTGGGACAGGCCTGTGTGCCCGCGGGAGGGAGGAGCTGGCCGGGCAGGGACAGGCCTGTGTGCCCACGGGAGGGAGGAGCTGGCCGGGCAGGGACAGGCCTGTGTGCCCGCAGGGGGGAGGAGCTGGCCGGGCAGGGACAGGCCTGTGTGCCCGCGGGGGGGAGGAGCTGGCCGGGCAGGGACAGGCCTGTGTGCCCGCGGGGGGGAGGAGCTGGCCGGGCAGGGACAGGGCTGTGTGCCCGCGGGGGGGAGGAGCTGGCCGGGCAGGGACAGGCCTGTGTGCCCGCGGGAGGGAGGAGCTGGCCGGGCAGGGACAGGCCTGTGTGCCCGCGGGAGGGAGGAGCTGGCCGGGCAGGGACAGGCCTGTGTGCCCGCGGGAGGGAGGAGCTGGCCGGGCAGGGACAGGCCTGTGTGCCCGCGGGAGGGAGGAGCTGGCCGGGCAGGGACAGGCCTGTGTGCCCGCGGGAGGGAGGAGCTGGCCGGGCAGGGACAGGCCTGTGTGCCCGCGGGAGGGAGGAGCTGGCCGGGCAGGGACAGGCCTGTGTGCCCGCGGGAGGGAGGAGCTGGCTGGGAGGACAGTTTTGGACATAGGCTCTGGGAAGCCCCTCCCTGGGTACCACTGTCTTCACCGGGCCTTGCTCCCGGGCCGGGGTGGGGATGGGCTGCCTGTGTCTGCTACACCTTCTGTGCTGTCCCCTCCAGGCCCTGCATAAGGCCGTGCTGACCATCGATGAGAAAGGGACAGAAGCTGCTGGGGCCACACTTCTGGAAGCCATTCCGATGTCGATTCCCCCGACCGTAACGTTTAACAGACCCTTCCTCACCATCATCTACGACAGAAACACCAAAAGTCCCCTCTTTGTGGGGAAGGTGGTGAATCCCACTAAAAAATAACTAACTGCCTCTCTGGTGCAGCCCTCCCCTCCCAGGCCAGGTCCCCTCCCTAAGTGACAATAAAGAATGACTGGCCCGGCCCAACCTTGAGTGTGACATGCAAATCCCTCATCCTCTTGTCTTCTGAGTCTCACTTTAGCCCCGCATGTGTGCGGAAGGCACCCCAGGGACAGTTCGCGCACCCACTGTGTCGGTGTGTCTGGAACGCGTACACTGTCCCGCGCTGCGCGTGGCCGGGATGGCATGCTGGCTGCCAGCTACGGCTCCCGCCGCTTCCCCATCACGACGGAAAGGCTCCCGGCGCCCTGCCCTGTCTGGGAACTGCTAAGGGGGAACATACAGTTCAAACTCCAGCCCCGGGCCCTGCCTCCACCAAGCGTCCACCAGGTCCTCCTGGGGAGCCACCCCTGCGAGTCCCCGTGACAGCCCCGCCCGGCAGGCTGCTAGCACCCACCACAGGCTGCCCTCCTGCCTCGGCCCCTCCAGCTCACACGGGGCACTTAGCTGCCACGTCTCCAGCAGCAGAGGGAGAGGACCAGGTCCCTTCTCATCCACTGTCACCTGAGCCAGGCGAGGGACCCGATTGCTCACAGGTCTTTCTTGCAAACGGCTCTGGCTGACCTGTCCAGGAGCCCCGGCCAAGGAGGCTGAACGTGTATTCTGTCCTTGTCAGTCCGGCTCTACCCCAGGCCCGCAGACACACGCTCCCAGAAGCCGGGCTCTTCTCCCTCAGTGAAGACAAGGTATCTGGTCTTGGTCTATATCACCTGCTTAAACTCAGCAGGACAGTCACCCCCAAAACACGTACCCTACATCCTCTTGTCCTCCCTCATCATGCAGCCATGATAACGATTCCTCAGTCACGGGGAGGAAGTGTGACACGCCATCAACCTCACTGGCCCTGCCTGCCCTCCCCTGGCTGAGCCCTGAAGGGGACACATTTTGCCTTGCTTTGTCCTGCCCCGTGGCTGTCCACGTGGTGCTCACTGGGAACCACTGCTCCTGGCCCTCAGCTAGAGGCTGTCCTGAGAGTAGCCCTTTTTCACTAGGGGCCACCTGGCTCCTTCCCGCCCTCCAAGGCCCTGTTGGAGATCTACAGCACTCGGGAGCCCGGCTGGACTCCCAGGCTGCAGGAGCCAGCTCCCTGGGAATGGGCTTGTCCTGGGGAAAGACGGCCCCATCCCACACACATCTACAATCACAATCTAAGCCACTCGCTGGGCTTGAATGTCTACCTAAAGAAGAAGGTTGAGCCCTGGCCAGTTTGGCTCAGCAGTTAGAGCGTCAGCCTGTGGACCAAAGAGTCCCGGGTTCGGTTCCGGCCAAGGGCATGTACACCTCAGTTGCAGTTAGTCCCTGACCCCCGGTGGGGTCGTGTAGGCAGCAGACACTCAATGTGTCTCTCTCACATTGATGTTTGTTTCTCTCCCCCCTCCCACCCCCAACTCTGTCTGAAGATAAATGTAAAAATATCCTCGGGTGAGGATTAAAAGAAAAAAGGAAGGCTGAGTCATAGAAATTTATACTTTTTAAGTCAAAATGCCACATATGTGCAGTTTCACATTATTCAATGTTGTGGGTGAAGATTCAACGATTTCCCAAATAAGCCTCCTATTCGCTTGCATTTTCCCTGCCCGAAGACTTCTAACTTCCACTAAAATGATACTAACATTGTCAAATACCTACAGCGATGCCAGACCTGAGGGTCTAAGGACCTGGATCGAGCTCAGACTCTGCCACTTTCCAGCTGTGTGGGTAGAGAAGTCGCCAAACCTCTCCGGCCTCCGTATACCCCTATGAGCATAAAACCTCCCTGAGCTGGTGTGAGGCTCACGAGGGACAGTCAAAGCAGCTTCTGAAGGGCAGCGGAGCCGAGTGCCAGTGGCAGGGCCTTCATCTGGGGCGTCACAGGCTTGTCCTGTAAGCCTGACTCCCTGGGAGGGCTATTCAAACACCGTGTCACTGACTCCTCGAGCGTCGCTGGTGCGTGAGCAGAGCTGCTCTGCTCCTATACGCCCATTCCACAGATGAGGACACCGAGGCTCAGGGAGGCCAGTGTTCTTGCTCAAAGTCATGGAGCTTGTAAGTGGCAGAACTGGCTTCAGGGGCTTCCTCGTTCCTCCAAACCTCACATTACCTACACTCCCTCCAGATGCCCCCCCCCCCCGGACTTATGCAGAGCTGAATTCCTCCTTGAAGTATGAGGAAGCCTGGGGGCCCCAGCACACACCTCTGCAAGAAAAACACCCGGCCGCCCTGGTGGGAAGCAGCTGATCTGCTATAGCTCCTCCCACCCGAGGCTAGGAGCACACAGTCCTCACCTCCCACTCCCTGGTGCTGGTTTCCGGGGGGAGGGGCGCAGCTGCAATGGCAGGTGGAGATCCTCGGCGTCCAGAGAAAGGCCATGGAGGCGGGAAGCGCTGGGGGCCCTCCCCTAAGATACCGTCATTCCGCTGGAACAAAGGCCGTGACATTCGTCTGGACGCTGGGCAGACAGCCCACTCTGGGCTGAAAGCACCCGGAGGAGAACTCACCGGCTCCGATGGGAACCGAGAGAGTTCCTTCGTGGGGTGGGCAAAGCATCAGGGCGGCCTTGTCATAAGGAGGACAAGAGTGTGCCACAAACCAGGCGGGACAGCCACCAGCCTCAGCCTTGCCTTGAGGGGCAGAGGCTAGGAATCGGTACCCCACTGCCGGTGGGGACACGGAATCCAGCCGAGTGGAAGGCGTAGGCCTAGAAGCCCGGGCCGCCTTCTCCAGACCCTCTCAGATCTTAGAGCAGTCCCAACCTCCCAGCCCACACGGCGCCACCTCTCCGGCCTAAGCCAGCCGAAGACTCAGCTGCCGGGATTCTAGGCTGGTGCGGTGGGTTTCCCCTCCAGCAGGGACCCGGCTCCTCTCTGAGACAGATGAGAAGGAGACACACAGGCAGCCTCTGGGCTGAGGCAGGGGCAGCCCGGCAGTGACAGTCACTGAACCTCTCCACCAGTGTGCAGGGAAAGACACAGCAATTCACTTGAAGCAGAAAAAACAAGTTGTTGAGTTCGAGGGCAAGCCCTGCCCTGAATGCTGGGGCCTACTGCACCTCATTCATTAAAATAAAGAGCAAGGGCAAGGAGGCTTCCAGGTTCTCATACATGTGCACGGATTCAGAAATGGGAAATGCAGAGTACGTACTGATTTCCACCCCACGGGCTCCCGTGATCCTCTCCAAAAGCCCATGGGGTGGGCATTTGTTCGACAAGAAAATGCAAACATTGGCTGAGTACCTGCAAAACCCCGGGGACAGAGAGAAGGAGACCCAGGTCCCACCCTCGAAGAATGCTGGTCTAAGATGGCAACAAGTCGGGCCTTGCAGCAGGGTGAACGCACCTCAGAGTCCTTCCAGAGCCGTCAGCGATGATCCACAGACACCCACGCACAACCTGGGCGGCCTGAGAGCTCCGAGGGGCTGGGCCCTTCTGCGCTGTCCTCTGTTGGGTAGTCACACCGGTCCTGCCGGCAAAGCACACAGCCACACTCCTGGCCAGGCCCTGGGGGCAGCTTCCGAATGAGACTGCGCCCAGCCTTGGAGGACTAATGGAATCAGGGCTCCTGGGAGGAGAAATCAGAGAAGGCACACTCCCCAGGCAGCTCCCTCCCAGCGAGGACGAAGGCAGCAGTTCAGGGTGCTAGCCATTGAGATTCTGAGCTCTTTGTTACCACGGCAAAACCCAGCCCCTCCTGATGGACACGACTAGACTCAGAGAAAACGCCCTCAAGGAAATCGTCACCTAAGAAGCAAGCCTTCGATGATGGCTTAGAACAGAAAGGGCAGGGGAAGGCAGAAGCAACCCTCAGGAGGAAACCTTAGAAAGTGCCAGAACGGGGGTGGTGAGCTCATGCCAGGGGGAACAGTCCAGATGCTGTGGTGAGCACGTGCCAGGAAATGGGGGGGGTGCTCTGTGAAGTCACACAGGACCGGGCAACAGCAGGACAGTCCCGCAGGGAAGGCCTGACCCCAGGTGGGGTTGGCAGATCATTACCAGGGACATTTCCTCTCTGACGTCCAAGCCGCCTTCCCGACCAGGTGCTCACTGTGTTCCACTTTTTATCACTTTGGTTATCAGGGAACAGAGTGGACATCATGCAGTGGAAATCAGCACTGTTAGAATGATTTTAATGTCATGGTGGGACTTTCACAGAGAACACAGCGAACAGAGTACGTTAGAAATATGTTTAATTTTATTTTTTATTAAATGTGTTGGGGTGGCATTGATTAATAAAGCCACACAGGTCTCAAGCGTGCAAGTCTATAATGCAGCATCCGCACTCTGCATCGCCCAAGCCAAGCCTCCTTCCCCCACCACTTATCCCCCTCGCCCTCCCCACCTCACCCCCTTGCCCTCTGGCAGTCACCGTACTATTGTCTGTGTCTGTTGGGTTTGTGTTGTTTTCTGGAAGCAGCCCAAGGGCCATCAGTAGACGAGTGGATGAGAAAGCTGTGGTGTGCGCTGGGGGGTGTAATTCACTTGGGCACCCCATGCACTGAAAGGCTGGGGTTCCATTCTGGATCAGGGCACATGCCTGGGTGGCGGGCTCGATCACCAGTAGGGGACGAACAGGAGGCAGCCAACTGATGTTTCTCTCTCACGTGGATGCTTCTCTCTTTCTCCCTCCCCCTTCCTCTCTCTCTAAAAATCAATAAAATATATATATATATATATATATATATATATATATATATATATATATATTTTAAAAGCTGTGGTACATTTACACAATGCAATACTACTTGGCAATAAAAACGAAGGAACTCTTATCTTCTACGACCACACAGATGGGCCTGGAGAGCACGGTGCTAAGTGAAATAAGCCAGTCAGAGAAAGACAAGTACCATGATTTCCCTAATACGTAGACTCTAATGAACAAAGTAAACTAACAAACAAAATAGAAATAGGCTCATGGATACAGAGAACAAGACTGCATTGATTTTATCACTGTATCATCACTGCAATTTCCTTTCGTTCTCGGGTGACTTTCAGCATTAACTGTGACAATGACAATGCGAAAGGCAGTATCACACAGCAGAAGGAATTCAAGAATCCCAACTCAGCCTCCAGTTACTGTAGAGCCATGAGCATTTTCGTTCTCTGCGTGCCTCAGTTTCCAGTGCTCCAAAATGGGGATAAGGAGTCCTAACTCGTTCAGTTTCTTCTATGGATTATTCTGCAAAGTGTTTTTTAGTGCCGATTCTTACCTAATATTAAATACTAATCAAGACTGTAGATTCCCAAAGTAATAGTGCAGGGCTAGCTTCCCACTTCCCTGTCTCTCGATTCACTGACAGGAAATTAACAGAGGAGTAAATTGCAGATATGCAACAGTTTGCTTCCATGGACCCTGAGCTGGGAGTCAGACAGCCCGAGATCTTTTCTCAGGCCGACCACTGACGTGCCCCAGGAGCCGGGAAGCTCACTTCCCCTCTGTGAGCCTGGGTTTTCTCACGAGCAAAATAAGAACACTAAGGTCCCTTGATGAATTGATATTCTACAAGATTCTAACTTCATCAGGGCAGCCCAATGTCATTCTTTCACATGGTCACTCTGAGCCTTGGCACTTGGCAGGGACCTGTTATCTCCCTTCTGTGCCTGGATGAGTGGACTCTGGAGGCCGATGCCAGGTCCCGACGTGAGTTTTTCTAGGACTGGAACCTTGGTGGCCACAAGCCCTGTGACTTCAAGCTGTAGATATTTATGAAAGATCAACAAGATCTCAGGCACAGTTCCTGGGTCTGGATATGTTTTAATCATTTACTCCTCTTAACAGATCTGTGAGGTGGGCATCAAAGCAAGATGAATCTTTGATCTTGCATGGCCATGGGCTCCCGTCACCCCACCCTCCAGGTGGCCTTGCACCTGCTGGTTCCACTGGACTAGGTTGCTTCAGGGAGGGACAGCAAGGCCCTCCGATAATGTCAGGCCCTCGCTGGCTCCCCAGATTCACTTCCTGCATGATGGGGGGTCAGTTACTGGGCCATGGAACTTGGCATCCCACCCCCCGGAGATGCCCCATAAGTAGGTGAAGTTGTGAGAGGCTGTGGAACAGCCTGAGAGATGAGTCCAGCCCAGTGAGTCTCTCCGGAGAATAAGTGAATTCTACCTGCTGCGTGAGTAGCTCTCTAACAGTTTCCTCCCGAGCTGGTGCTGGGGGTGAGGCTGGGGAGGCCAGAGCTATTATCTCCACTTGCCAGAGGAGAACACTGAGGTACAGACAGGTTTGACTGCAACTGGCGGGGTCAGGAATGGAAGCCCGGCATCCAGCCTTCAATGTCTGGCCCAGCGCAGTGAGCGATGGGATCACTCCCTCCAGACCACTCCCCCACCGGCCCTCACCCATCCCAACCCCCACCCGCCCCGACCCACCCCCACCCCGCACTAGCAGGCTCCCTAGGCACTGCTGGAGGGCACAGCCTCTCGCTGTTGCTTTTCTCTTCATTCCCTCCCTGTGGTGTACTCACCTATGGTCCTACCACTTGCAAAGGCAGGGGCGCGTTCCCTTGGAAGCCCTTGACCCCACCACCCTTCTCTGCCATGCTCCTTTACCTCAGATCCTTCTTTCTTACCTGGTTCCGTTAAAACTCAGCCAGAGCCAGACTTGGCCCTCACCTCTGCTTGCAGGCCCGGTCTGTCTCCCTGGAGAGGGCAGGTGCCCATGAGCTCTCCCCAGTCCCCAGGGGATGGCACATGGTCTCCCCTTTGCGCCCTGGCCTTGGCCTCCTACACTGCAGACCCCCGGCCTTGACCTCTGGAAGGCTGAGGTGTACTCATTAACTCTTCAGATAACCCTTTTCTGTCACCTCTTCCCCTTTCTTCTCTGGGTTCACGGCCCCTCACTGATCCTAAAAGTTTTAGTTTGCAAAACCCATGACCCTCTGCCCGCAAAGAGCGATCTCCGGTCTCCTTCTGGCTGTGAGTTTTGATGACTAGACTGATTTCATTCACTTCTCCCAACAATCTCATTTTTAAGAGGAGGCTCAGAGAAATTAAAATTTTGGGGTCCACAGCTGGGAAATGACAGAGGCAGATCAGAACCCAGGACTACTGAAAGCCAAAGGAATGCCTTTCCTCCACCTCCTGCCCCCCAACATCCAACCTGTGTCCCTGGAGAAAGTAACCCTCTGAGGCCCCTGTCACCTGAGCCCAGGGCTGAGAGATAGGTCCTGGCCATGTGGGCGGGTGAGCAGACTGCAGACAATTTGGGGGGTGAGACCTGACATTCGCCACGGGGCTGGCTTGGAACGGCTTCTAGGGGCTGTGGCAATGTGACTGTTCAGTGGAAACAGTCCTGACACTCAGAGACTGTTGTCATTAAGCTCCCAGTGGAAAAGGGCTGTCCAAGCTTCGCAGGTGGCAGGAGGGGAGATGTTCTGCATCTCCCGAGGGCCTTGGCGCAACGTGCCACACAGAATCCTGGGATCTCTGGGCAATGCCCCCCCCCAAGAAGAATGAACGCCCCAAACTGACCGGCTCTAGTGAACACTGTGGCCCCAGTGAGGGAATTCAGTTGGGACTCAGCTGACCACCTGAAGTAAGACGCTGTCTAACCAGGGAGGAAGAGTCCTGTGCTCTGCGGGGACCTCCACAGGGGCACTTTTGATCTGAGAAGACACTGGGCAATGTCTGGAGAACTTCCAATTGTCACACCTGAAGGCTGGTTTTATCTGGGAGGCTGCTAAGCACCCTGCAGCCGCACTGCATGGGGTTTTGCCACCCAGAATGCTCAGGTGCTGAGCTTGAGACACCTAACTCCTCGTGGGCCTGACCCTGAGAAGCAGCTGGTTCCCGCCTGGGAAGAGTTAGCAGGTGCCCACCCCTGGCACAGAGGGCCAGACCAGGAGGACGGAGACTTGTCTGTCCTGGCTCTGCTTGACCAGCTGTGTGGCCGAGAGCAAGCCGTGAATCTCTCGAACCTCACTTCTGATAGCCTGTAAAAGGAGGTAACAGGATACTCCATAAACAAAGGTGAATGGCCCTGTGAGGGTCTCCAGGTTAAGGGCTCTTGGGTGCTTTTTCTTAGTAGCATTCCCCAGGCCTGGCACTGCGGGGTCAGAGAACAATCCACTTCAGGCTCAAGTAGTCTAAGTAGTCAAGTGAGAGCTGCAATCCCTTCAAGAAAAGGGAGATGGATGGAGTGTGTGGCGTGTGGGAGTCGGGGCCACTCACTATCGGGCACGATGGGCTTTCGTGGAGCTCTGTGCTGTGTGTCCTTAGGCAAGGTCCTTCCCCCTCTGGGCAGCAGCTTCTCTGTCCGTTAAATAACAAAGTTCAGTGGCGGCTGCCCTAGGGCTGTACCAGATCCAGTCATCCCTGAGCCTGACTTGGCTGCTTCCGGGTCCTTGTGGGTATGCACCTTATGTGTCCTGTGGCTCAGTTTTCTCTTTTACAAAATAGAGGCCGTGGCACTTGCACCTCGGGGTCATTGCAGATGTCAGTGGAGCTGTAGAGAGCGTGGACTCTGGACCCATACTCCCTGTGGGTGTGGTTCCCGTCCTGCTCCTTGACTTGCTCTGTGATCTTGGACAAGTGACTTCACCCCCTGGAGCTTTGCTCTCCTCATCTGTAGACTGAAAATTGTCATATGACCTAGAGATCAGAGTGTGATAAGAGGGCAACCAGCTAACACTGTGAAGTGCTCAGCAGGAGCTTGGCTACAGTAAGCACTGTAAGTGTTGCTATTGTTCTGATCTTCCCACGAGGACAACGTGGAAAGTACTTGGCACAGGGTTGCACAAAGCAGATGCCGAATCAACTCTGGTTGTTTACATGGTGTGAACCCGTGGCCGGGGGACTCATCGTGTGGCCTGACTTGGGCATGATGCCCCTTTTCTCTTGCAGGACGATGCCATCCAGCACATGGGGCCTCCTCCTGCTGGCGGGCCTGAACTGCCTGGCCCCTGCCTCCCTGATCCAGGAAGAAGACACATTGCTGCATGATCATGAGAAACACAACTACAAGATCGCCCCGAACATGGCTGACTTCGCTTACACCCTGTACCGCCAGGTGGCCCATCAGTCCAGCACCACCAACATCTTCATCTCCCCCTTGAGCATCGCACAAGCTTTTGTGATACTCGCCATGGGGGCCACAGGTGAGACTCACACCCAGATCATGGACAGCATAAATATGAACATGTTCGCGGTACCTGATGCTGAAGTCTACCACCTCATATGGTTTCTCCTCAACCAGACACGAACCCAGCTGACCTCTAGCAATATGCTATTTATTGATAGCAACCTGAAGACAGAGGTTAAGTTTTTGGAGGATATCAGGAAGCTGTACTACTCAAAAGTCTTCTCCATCAACTTCAGAGACGCTGGAGCCCAGAAACAGATCAATGATTATATAGAGAAGGAAACCCAAGGAAATACTGTGGATCTGGTCAAAGAGTTTGACAATAACACATCTCTTGCTCTGGTAAATTACGTTTTCTTCAAAGGTAGGTTTGACCACCAACCTGAGCTGGTTCAAAAGTAAACATCCAAAATATTCTCAAACATCAGTTCTTAAACTTTCTTTGGCAGCGCATCTCTGCAGGGGTCATTCATTTTCCTCACACACCCACGAAAAAACTTCCCATGATCAAACAAGGTTAGCGAGCCATGGGTCAAACAGTCAAGGTATCATCTTCCCTGCAGGACTTGTCAGAGCCTTTGGTACACATTCTCATGTGCATTTTGTAAATCTCAGAGAGGGTGGTAAAATGTGCAATGCCCCCCACCAAACAGAGTGCCAGAAAAACAAACTTTAGCAGAGTGTATGAAAGGAACAAGGTTTCCTGAAACATACTTTGAACAACACTAGTGTAGTGGAAGGAGCGACAGCTTTGGAGTCAGAAAGACCGGGGTTCAAATCCTGCCTCGGCCACTTATTAGCTATTTGATTATCAGCAAGTCATTTTACCTCTTTTTTTATTATTATTTTTTCTTCGTTGATTTTAGAGAGAAAGGAAGGGAGAGGGAGAGATAGAAACATCAATAAGAGAGAACATCTATTGGCTGCCTCCTGCATGCCCCCACTGGGGACTGGGCCCACACCTGGGCATGCGCCCCAGCCAGGAATTGAACTGGCAATCGCCTGGAGCATGGGTCGATGCTCAACCACTGAGCCACACCGGCCGGGCCATGTCACCTCTCTGAGGTTCCAGTTTCCAATCTGGAACATGAACATAAGAATCCCTTCGTTGGCAGGTTTCTGTAAGGAGCACACATTACGACTATGGGCTCACCAAGTAGGTGCTCAACTGAACTGGGATTTCAGCCTGCCTTCCTCCCTCGGGGTGATGGGACGTCGGAAGCCTGTGGGCCCCGGAGGGCATTCTGAGGCTGTGGAAACAGTCCATGGAAATAGCCTGGCACAGGGAGGTGACAGTCAAGGGCAGGGGCTGCTTCCTTCACACTGCTGGCTCCTTGACCTGAGGCAGAAGACAGCGATGGAGTGCTGAGGCCGAGCAGGTGCATCTTGGGTCCCAGCTCCGCTGTGGGACTTCAGGCGGGTCCTGTCCCTCTCCAGCCTCAGTCTCCATCTTCCATCCAATGAGAAACGAGCTCAAGGGTCCCCAAGGCTCCAGTCCCCTCTGACTTGCCAGGATGGTGCCGGTCTCTCAGTCTAGTGGAGGGGTGATGCCCAGGCCTCCGCACTTCACATGCTGTTCCAGGAAAAGGCCATCAGAGTAAGAACAAGAGTGATTTCCCTGAATGATAAGAACCTCTGATTACCAAGGGGCAGGGAGACTCAGACAAGGAGGTGCCAAGTATGACTGATGTCATTTTCAATTAGCATCTTCCAAGCAACCCCCAATTAAACAGGCAGGAAATACAAGTTAAAATGCTTACTCTGCCCAGCCAGATTGGCATCCCTGGGCCTCTACAACATAGAACAGTGGGACCCTCTTCCTGTCTGGCATCATCCTCACAAAAGCCCTCTCAGTGCACTGACGTTCATTTTGGCTCCATTTTACAGATGGGGAAACTGAGGCTCAGAGACAGACATCTCATCGAGGAGGCTCCGGGCTCCTTTATTCTACCACAGGTACCTGACCCTTTCCCATCCCTGCCTGACATGCTCCTTCACCTCTCTCCAGGCCAGTGGAAGGATACATTTGAGTCTGAGCACTTAGTAGGAAACTTCCATGTGGACAAGAAGACCACCATAAGGGGACCCATGACCCAGTACTTTGGCAAGTTTCACGTGCTGTATGACAAGAAGCTCTCCAGCTGGGTGGTGCTGCAGCACTACATGGGCAACCCCGCCTTCCTGTTCATGCCCAAGCAGGGGATGATTCAGCAGCTGGAGGCCAGGCTCTGCCGGAGGGAACTCGCCAGGATCCGCAGAGGCATCAAAAACCGGTGATTCCTAGTCCAGGGCTGCCCAGGAGTTGCCACATCAGGCCGGGCCCAGTGGTTTCAGACAGAGGCCACCATCAGTTGAGGGAGCAACAGCAGGAACAGTGCCCATAGCTGAGGGGCAACAGTCCTGCCCTTGGGGACTCCCAGCGTAAACACTGCCCATGCCCGTGTCAGCGTCTGGTTCAGGGAGAGCAGCACCAACATGCACCAGCAGAGAACCGAAAGAAAGCGGCGGGTTTCTTGGCAAAGGTTGAGTGTGGACGGAAAGGACAGGGGGTCCATGGTGAGAATCATGTCCACCCTTCTCAGGGTCACACTTTGTCCCCAGGGACACCAAGGGCTGAGTCGCCAGCCCCATGCATCACTCATCAGTCACTGGGCAAATGTCACTCAGCACCTGGCACCACGCCCCACGTTCTGCTGGGATTCCAGTCCCGAAATCCCAGTCTGGGGGTGACCAAACCCTGCGGGGCAGGGTGCAAAGTGCCTCCGGAGGACACCCTGGATCTGCCCGGAGGGCTTCTCAGAGGAGGTGGCGTTTGAGAGACTTTCAGAACAAGAGGACCCGCATCATTCTAACATTCTCTGACGCAGGGGTAGAGCCCCTAAAATTACAATAAACCAACATTGATCCCCATCCTCCCGTGGGCAGAGAGTCAGGGTGCCAAGTGGGAGAAATGACCAGAAAAGAAAAACTTAAAATGTTGAGAAATTCCTTTGTTTTCTATCCATCTTCACAGGTCTGCCAGTTTACTTTTGCCCAAACTGTCCATTTCTGGGACCTACGATCTAGAAACCTTCCTGGGCAAACTGGGCATCGCCAGGGTCTTCAGTAACGGGGCTGAGCTCTCGGGGATCAGTGAGGAAGTACCCCTGAAACTGTCCAAGGTGAGCTTGTCCCTGGCTTCCCTGGGTCAGAATGTGTACGGGCTGCAGCTCAGGGGGAGGGGCACAGGGACACATGCACCCTACAGACTGAGTCTCAGGAATGCCACTGGACTCCCCAAGATTGGGGTGTGGTCCGGTGACTGACTGAGGCCTCTTGTGTTCTGGTATTTTAGCGACATCCTCTGCGGTGGTGTCACTGACCCTCTGTCTCATCTGTGGTCAGGGTCTTCCCTTCTTTGAGCCTCGAGGGACCCATATTTACAAAGACAGACGGGGGTCAGGGATTTCAAAGGACTTTTGGCCCCCACATCCTGTGACACTGGGAGCCACTGCTGAATCAGCAAGTCCAAGTTAATAGGTGATTTTAGCTAAAGATGCCACTTATTCGGGAGCCTTGAAGGTGACCGAGGAAACAACTACAGTGCTAGACTGGCTACGAACTGAGTGCCTGGCTGTGAACTAGACACTGGGAAGGTCCCCATCTAAGCCCTGGTCCCCAAGGAGCTTACAATCAGATACTAGAGAGACATGTCAGGAGACCCAAAGTTCCAGTCATCTTCTACCTCCTGAGGGGTGGGGTGTCTCCAGGGAGGTTGAGCACGTGGGTCAGGAAGAAGTGAGGGTGCGCAGGTGGCGTCCGACAAGGACCTTGCGGAGGTGGGACAGGCCTGTGTGCCCGCGGGAGGGAGGAGCTGGCCGGGCAGGGACAGGCCTGTGTGCCCGCGGGAGGGAGGAGCTGGCCGGGCAGGGACAGGGCTGTGTGCCCGCGGGAGGGAGGAGCAGGCTGGGCAGGGACCGGCCTGGTGATTAGAGAGGACTGGGTCTGGTGTTGAAGGGCAGCGCAGGGAACGGCCCCTGGGAAGGGGGGTGGAGAGGAGGAGTCTGGGATAAGGTTGAGTAAGTATATATGAGCAGCTGCTGGTGCCCCAGAGTTACCACATAGCAATCTTGGACCTTGTTGTGCTCATGAACACAGACATATATGCACACTTCTAAGACACGCACATGCAGATATCTACACATATATCGAGCATCTGCACTGACGTGTCCCACAGAAAGCACATACTGGCCCTTGGTCATCACGTCATGGTGCTCTGATTTTCCTGCTTAGGAAAGCGAGGATTCGAGAAGAATATTCATCTTCTTGGGGTGACACAGTTAGTTATTTAGTGGGGAAAATGGGATTGGGACCCAGATCCTCTGGTGGATAATCATGTTCTTTCCTCTACACTATAATGATTCGTGTTGTGAATCTAGTGGTTCTTTAGTAAAAATGCTGAAATGCCAGACACCCAGCTGGCAACTCTGCTTGTTTGTTGCTGTTTCGTTTTTTAAATCAAGGAAATGCTACAAAGATCCAGGTCCCCACTAGGCCTCTGGGCAGGTCCCTTCCTCGGGCCTCAGAACAGCTCCTCCACACTGGGCCCTGCTCCCAGGCCCGGGGAAGGTCCGCGGTCGCCTCTGCCCCAACCGTGCCTCTGCTCTCTCCCTTCCAGGCACTGCATAAGGCTGTCATGACCATAGATGACAATGTGAAGGAACATTCTGGTGACTCCCTTCTGAAAAAGGAAAAAGAAGTTAAGCATGTGACCATCAAATTCAACAGGCCCTTCTTAGTCTACATCATGGATGAAACCTTGAGCTTTCCCCTGTTCATGGGAAGGATGGTGAAACCCCCGGGAAAATAGCCGCCTCTCGGAGGACAGCCCTTCACTTGCCCAGCCAGCCCCTCCCCAGGTGACAATAAAGAATGGAGCAAAAGGCCCAAGCTTGAGTGTGACATGCGAATCCCTGGGTCTCTGAGTCTCCGTTCACATCCCCAGGATGTGTGTGGAGTCCAGGTCACAACCATCTTTGTATCCACTTAGTATTTATTAAGTATTTACACTGTCCAGGCATTGGGCTCAGCAAGCAAACAATTCCGGCTGAAACCGTAATTTGCTAGCATAGACAGAAAAATCAGCAATGAGGGAGATGCCTCCTGCAGATGGGTGGTGACACCCAATTTACTACTTAGACTTTTGTGGAAGGGTGGTAAGAAAAGAGAGCAACAGTGAGGCAAGGCTAAGCAGACAGACCACACAACAGAGAGGGTGCTTAGGGACTGCACCTATTTGGAGGACCCAATCAGTCCAGAATAGTAAAGGCTTAAGTCTACATTAAATAATGGTGTTTGGATCTCTGGGTAGGTCAAACATTAAAACATAAGAAAACAGCCCTGGCTGGTTTGGCTCAGCGGTTAGAGCATCCGGAGAGACCCGGGTTCGGTTCCCGCTAAGGGCACGTACCTCGGTTGCAGTTTGTCCCCGGCCCTGGTTGGTCGTGCGGGTGGCAGCCACTCGATGTGTCCCTTTCACATCGATGTTTCCCTCTCTCTCTCTCTCTTCCTCTCTCTCCCTCCCACTCTATCTGTGCAAAAAATGGAAAAAAAAAAAACCATAAGAAAACAAATGTTCTAGAAGAAAGCACTGGTTAATTTATTCTTTGATACTAAAATGCGTAAGACCTCTCTAAACAAGATAGTAAACCCAAACCCATAAAAGTAAGGATTATCATATCTGACTTTATAAAATGGAAACTATATGGCCAAAAAAATGCCATTTAAATCACTAAGAAGGTATAACAAATATAAATATCCATGCACCAAACATCAGAGCTCCTAAATATATGAAGCAAATATTGACAGGAACATATATAGTAGGAGAAGAAATACACCACATTAAATAATCAATAGGAAAAAACAGACAGAATATCAATAAGGAAACAGAAGACTTGAACACCATAGAAGAGCAACTGCACTAACAGATATATCAGAACACTGCACCCACAATGACAGAATACACATTTTTCTCAAGTACACATGGAAAATTCTCCATGATAGACCATATGTTAGGCCACAAAGCAAATTTTAATACATTTTATAAGATTGAAATCATACAGAGTAGCTTGTACAATCACATTCAAATGAAACTAGAAATCAGTAGCAGGAGATAAACTGGAAAATCTTATTGGTCAAAGAAGATATCATGAGAAATTTAAAAATATCTTGAGACAAGTGAAAATAAAAACACAACTTACCAAAATGTATGGGATGCAATAAAAGCAGTACTAAGAAGAAAATTTATAGCTATAAGCATTTACATCTTTAAAAAAAAAAGTATCTCAAATCAACAATCTAGCTTTACACCATAAGGAACTAGAGAGAGAGAGAAAAAAAAAGCTAAACTCAAAGCTAGCAAAAGAAAGAACAGAATAGAGTTCAGAGCAGATATCAACAAAAAAGAAAATGTTTATAAAGCAATGGGAAAATCAACAAAACCAAGAGTAGATTCTGTGAAAAGATCAACAAAATTCTCAAACTTTTAGAAAGATTGACTAAAAAGAGAGAACACTCAAATAACTAAAATCAGAAATAAAGTCATTACAAGTGATTTTGCACAAATAAAAAGGATTGTAAGAGAATACTATGAAAAAATTAGATGCCAACAAATTGGATAACTAGATAAAACAGATATATTTCTAGAAATGCATAATCCACCAAGAATTGGTCATGAAGAAGTAAAAATTGTGAATAAATGTCTAACAAGTAATGGAGATTAAATCGATAATCAAAAACTTCCCAACAAAGAAAATCCTAGGACCTCATGGCTTCACTGTTGAATTCTACCAACCATTTTAAAAATAATTTATACAAATTACCTTCAAACTTTTCCAAAAAATGAAGAGAAAATAACCCTTTCTAACTCAGTTTATGAGGCCAGCATTATTCTGGTTCCAAAGCCAGACAAAAAAAACACTGCAAGAAACGAAAACTATAAATTAATTATCTCTGATGAATAATGATGCAAAAATTCTCAACAAATTCTCACAAATAGAATTCAACAGCACATTATACAAGGATAATACACCACAACCAAGTGGGATTTGTTCTGGAATGCAAGGATGGTTCAACATATGATAATTAACCACTTCAATACACCACATTAAAAGAATGAAGGGGAAAACGCATGATTATCTCATTTTATAGCAAAAAAATGTTTGACAAAATTCAACATCCTTTCATGATATAAGGACTCAAAAAACTAAGACTAGAAAGTAACTACCTCAACATAATAGACCATATATAAAAACCCACAACTAACATCATACCCAATGATAAAAGACAAAGTTTTTTTCTAATATAGGGAACAAGACAAGGATGCCTGCTTTGGCCTCTTCTATTTAGCAATAGTAATGGCACTTTTAGCCAGTGAAATTAAGCAATAAAAAGAAATAAAAAGCATCCAAATTAGAAAGAAGTAAAATTATCTTTGTTCACAGACAGTATGATTTATATGTAAAAAAAAGTCTAAAGATTATACACGCACACTGTCAGAACTAACAGAGAGAGAAACAGGAGGTAATGTTTATTGGGTATAGAGTTTCTGTTTTGCACCCTGGCCAGTTTGGCACAGCGGTTAGAGCGTTGACCCAAAGACCAGAGAGTCCCGGTTTCGGTTCTTGCTAAGGGCATGTACCTTGGTTGCAGTTTGGCCCCAGCCCTGGTTGGGGCTGTGTGGGTGGCAACCACTCGATGTGTCTCTCTCACATTGATGTTTCTCTCTCTCTCTCTTCCCCCCTCTCTCCCTCCCACTCTATCTGAAGTTAAATGCAAAAATGTCCTCCGGTGAGGATTAAAAAAAAATAGAGTTTCTGTTTTGCAAGATAAGAACTGTTCTGCAGATTGGTTACACAACAATATGAATCCTCCAGCAAAGTTGCAGGATACAAAAATCAACAGGCAAAAATCAGTTGCATTTCATACACTAACAATGAACAATCCATAAAAGAAATTTAGAAACAAATTCTATATACAATAGCATCAGAAAGAATAAAATATATAGGAATAAACTTTCACAAAGGAGGTGAAAAATTTGTACGCTGAAAACTACAAAGCATCGCTTAAAAATTAAATAATATATAAATAATTGGAAAGATGTTCTACATTCAGGGATTGGAAAACAATATTGTTAAGATATCAAGAGTACCCAAAACAATCTATAAATTTAATGCAATCTCTATCAAAATCCTACAAGCATCTATTATAGGAATAGAAAAATCCATCCTAAAATTCACATGGAATCTCAAGGGACTCTAATAGCCAAAACAACCTTGAAAAAGAACAAAGTGAGAGGTCCCATATTTCCTGATTTTAAAGCTTCAGTAATCAAAACAGTGTGGTACTAGGTTAAAAACAAACATACAGACCACTGGAATAAAATAGAGAGTGCGAAAATAAACCCTCATATATTTGGTCGAGTGGTTTTAGACAAAGGTGCTAAGACTAATGGGGACAGAACAGTCTTCTCAAAGGGTAGGGGCTGAGAAAACTGTATATCCACAAGTAAGAGAATAAAGTTGGATCCTGACCTTACATCATATTAAAAAAAAAAAAAAAAAAACTCAGAATAAATCAAACACCTAAAGGTAAGTGCTAAAACTATAAAACTCCTAGAAGAAAGTTTCAACACATTGATTTAGCAATGATTTCTTATATATGATACCAAAAGCACACACAAGAAAGTTAAAATACATGGACTGTATCAAATTTTAAAACAATAATGATTGAAGAACACAACCAACAAAGTGAAAAGGCAACCTGTGGAATGGGAGAAAATATTTGCAAATTATATATCAAATAAGGAGTTAACATCTAGAATTTGTAAAATAATCCTATAATTCACCAATGAGGAAAAACAAACAACCTAATTAAAAAATTGGCCAAGGACTTGAATTAACATTTTTGCAAATATATATATATGGCTAACAAGCACATGAAAAGGTGCCTCAATATTACTAATCAATAGGGAAATGCAAATCAAAACCACAGTGAGATACCAACTTACACCTGACTTTTTTTTTTTTTAAATCCTCACCTGAGGATATTTTTCCATTTATTTTCAGACAGAGTGGGAGGAAGAGTGACAGACAGAGACATCAATGTGAGAGAGACACATCATCTGGATGCCTTCCGCGTAACTCTGACCAGGGCCGGGAACCAAATTGCAATTGAGGTACGTGCCCTTGACCCGAATCAAACCTGTGGCTCTTAGGTCCATGGGCCAATGTTCTAACCTCTGAGCCAAACCAGCCAGGGCTGATTTTTTATTTTTTTAAAGAAAATAACAAGTGTTGGCAAGGAGATATTGGAACCTGTGTGCACTGTTGGTAAGAATGTAAAATGATGCAGACACTATGGAAATAGTATGGTAGTTCCTCAAAAACTGAAAATTGAATTATCATATGATCCAGCAATTTCAATTTGAAGAACTGAAATCAAGGTCTTGAACAGATGTTGTAAATCCAAGTTCATTATACATGTAGCATTATCCATAATATATAAAAGATGGAAGCAACCCAAATGTCCATCGGCAGGTAAATGAATACACAAAATTTGGTATGTGTATACAATAAAATATTATTCAGCCTTAAACAAGAAAGAAATTCTGAGACATGCTACAGCATGGATGAATTTTGAAGACATTATGCTAAATGAAATAAGTCAGTCACAAAAGGACAAATGTTGTATGATTCCACTTACATGACATACTGAGAATACTCAAAACCAAAAAGATAAAAAGAAAGCAGAATGGTGAGTACCAAGGGCTGGGGGAGAAATAGGAGGTAATGTTTATCAGGTATAGAGTTT